CCCCGCCGCGACGGCGTCGAGGTCCCCCCCGACCCATCGGGCCGTGACGAGGCCGCTCTGGCAGTGCGGCCTCAGCAGCTCTTACAGGCCCGCGTGCGTCCACTCTGTGGGCAGTGCGCCGGCGCGCAAAGCCACAATCCCGTGGCACGCAAAACGCGGATCAAACGCGACCTTCACGGGTGCCCCGGCCGCCCTGACCGCGAACACTGCTGCTGAAATCTGCGGTCCGCGACCCGCCCACCAGCCCGTCGCGGCACCGTAAAACTCCGTCGGGCCCTGTCCAGCATAGACCCCACCCTGCCCAGGCCAAAGGCAGCGGGGGCGGCGGCAGCTGCTGCTTGGACTGGGCAGCCAGCGCGGCCAAGCGCGCGCCAAGCGGCAACACCCTGGTCAGCGGAAGCGCCGGCGGGGAGGCGCGCGAACAGGGCTGCCTGGCTCAACCCATCCGCCTGCAGCTCGGCGAAGCGGCGAGGCGGGCTGCGTCCCACTGAAGGGACGCCCAGAAGCTGTGTTCCTTGGTCTCCGCCGTCGCGCCGCAGTGCAGGCAGCGCGTGGGTTTGCCAGGCTAAGCTGCCATCGTCTCTGTGACGACGTTGCCCGTGAGCGCCGCGCGCAGGGCCCCGGCCGCGTCAGGCGCAAGCTCTTCGCACTCAAGCAAGCGCCAGCTGGCCCAACCCACCCGGAAACCACGGGACGCTCTGCCAGCACGCGATGACTCCTCCCAGGTCGAGGTCAGCCTTGCTGCGTCAGGCGGCAGCGAAGGGCCCCTGTTGCAGACCGTACCTGGCATCCACAACGCCCGCCACCTCGCACCAGAGTTCAAGCGGGAAACGCTGGCGGCGCAAAACTTCCTCGTCCTCGTCCTCGTCCTCGTCCTCGTCGTCCTCCTCCTCCTCCTCCTCCTCTCCTTTTCCTCCTCTACCTCATCCTCATCCTCCTCCTCCTCCTGCTCCTCCTCCTCTTCCTCCTCCTGCTCCTCCTTCTCCCCCTCCTCCTCCTTCTCCTTTTCCTTGTCCTTGTCCCTCCGCCCCCCCCTGGGGATCGACGCGCCAGCTCGGGCTGAGCACCGCATGGACCACCTCGGCGGCGGCGCGCAGCCCACCCCAGCACGGCCTGGCGCGCGGCCGCCTGCGCCCGGGGGCGGCCGCACGGGGCGCCACACATGCCGGCAGACGTCCCCGCCGCCGCGCCAAGGAGGCATCCCTGCCGGATGCCCACTGGCAGTCGATTGTTGATCTGTGTTGCCGCGGTTGGCGCGCAAGCTCGGGCAGCGGCGCGCGCGTCCCGCGGCGGGCGCCACGAGAAGGCGCAGACGCACGAACGTGGCGGGTGGGTCGGGTCGGAACCGTCAGCGAATCATCCCCCCCCTCTTCATCCTCCTTCCTCCCACGTTCTTCTCCTCGATCAAGCCCCTGGCCGCGCCCGCCGTTGAGGTCAACGTACTTCGGCTTGATGACCTTCTGGTCTTCCGTGGGCACCTTCTCGGCCAGGTCGACCGACTGCGCGATGCCGTCGGCCAGGCGGTCCCGCAGCCTACCCCGGGCCCAGGGCCCCTCTCCACTCCCCCACGGGGATCGCGAATGTAAGGGTGGAGGGATTGAGCTTCGAATACCGATCTGCACTTAAGTCTGGACGGAGATCGAGGGTGGAGAGATTGAGGAGAGATTGAGTTTCGCGGGTGGGGATCCAGCCCCGAAGATCGAGATGCCCATGCTTCTGCGGACTCTCCTGGGCCTCCAGAGGGGGGCTTCTCCTCGCCACGGCCGGGCTCGTTGTCCTTCTCGAACAGCCTGGCCGGGACGAGCCCTCCAGGGGGTCGATGTACAGTCGGGGCGTTGACCTAAGGAACCCTACAGAAGGAACGAGGCCCCTTTTTCCCATAAATTAAACTTTGATTTCCGAACAAAATCAGAAGGAAAACCTGAGGCGAGCTGTGAAACACTTAAGGAACACGGAACCCCTCCCCAACGAAAAGGGTTCCTTCTTCAGGGCACCGACTGCATTCCGGGAGCAGAGGTTGGGGTGGAGGAGGAGGGGCAGGAGGGGGAGGCGGACCGGAAGGGGGAGTGGGAGGGGAGGGATTGTTCACTCGTGGGCAGAAGGAACGTGGCTCTGACGCCCACGAGCCCTGTACCTGCAGCCTCGGTAGCAGCAGTCTGGCAAGAAGAATCCACTCTTCGAGGACGCATGCGATGGAGTCCAGAACCAGGGGCTGACCACACTTAGCCTAAACGGCGGAGCAATAGGCTCACTTGCTACCCAATATGCAACACAGAGCATCACATCCCACGACGATGTCGACGCCTGCTGATAGTTCTGGCAATGGTAACTCTGAGGCATGCGCAAGAAGAAGAGGCGAGAACGAAAACAAATTTAGGTGAACGACTAAGCGCTGCGCTCAGCCCGGGGTCAGCCGTAGCCATTTCCACGCGCAAACCCGTCGACACGAGGATCGGCGCGTACATGGCTATGAGGACAACTGCTGACGCGGAGATCGAACTTATCGGTGTCACCTGTCCCCAGCGCCGCGACCACGCACTTGGCAGCGGTCATAATTTGGAATTGCGTGGCAGACGTGTCGAAAATCTCCTTCCACCGCTCCGCTTGATCCTCCTCCGACTTCTGGCGCTGAACTACATCGGCGGGTTTGCCGACAAACTCGGCGAGGAGCAGCGGCACGAACTCGGGCGAGTCGCGCCTCAGGCCCAATCTCGAGGCTGGCGGGAGTCTCCAGCAGCCCGGGACCCAGCCGCATGCCGGAACGATCAAGGCCAAGTCCAGCTCATGGACGCCTGCAGCGCGCGAGGCGCCTCCAAGGCGAGGTCCAGCAGCCGCCGTGGCGAGGCCGCCGCGCGGGGCCAGGGCAGCATGCAAGGCTGCGTTCCTCCCCTGCCTCGCCACTCCTGGCGCTCGCTTGCCAGCCACGGCAGGGTGGGGGGCTGGGCGAGCGGCTGCCTCGCGGTCCTGCCACGATCCCGACTGCCCCCCGCGCCCGCGGAGCCCGCTCCCGCGCAGCACGGCGTGCCGCTGTCTGCCCGAACTGCAGGGCCTCCAGCGCGCGGCGTGGCGAGGGCTCCCGCCGTCGAGGGCTGCCCGCCGTAGCAGACTCCTTCTCCAGGCCGGCCTCCGACATCGCGGGGGCCGCGAAAAGTGGATAGAGACAGAGCCGCTCTCGAGCGCAGAAGCAGCAGGAGAGAGAGAGAGAGAGAGAGAGAGAGACAATGCGCACCTAGCCCGCCTGGCGCCCAAGGCAGGCTTGAGCCAAAATGGCTACCGTCGGGAGGGGAGGGAGGGGAGGGGAGTAAGGAGGGAGAAACAGAAGGAGCTGACGGAGCGGAAGGAGCGCCCCCATAATATCGCATCGCTATCACAGAGGGTGATGTTGATGCTGCTGCTGCGGCTGATGCTGATGTTGGTGCTGTTGCTAATGGTGCTGATCACGCTGATGATGATGGTGATGATGTTGCTGCTGATGATGATGAGGTTGTTGATGATGCTGGTGTTGGTGGTGACGATGATGACCAGTAGGTGATAGGGGAGGAGGAGGAGGAGGAGGAGGAGGAGGAGGAGGAGGAGGAGGAGGAGGATGGGCCCCGACTCGCCAATCAATCGGTCCCAAACGCCCACATTGGCCCCCAGTTGGCCGGAAAACATCCAAGACGTACCAATAGGCCTCCAAACATTTTCCCGAGAAGGCCTCGAAAAAGCGAAATCACCGACGTACGATTCTGGGGTTTCCACGTTTCAAACTTCCGACGCTACGACAAGTCCCCAGAGGCCCTCGAGACCCAAGCCGGCCCCACAAACCCCCATGAGAGCACCTAGACGGCCGCAGAGGGCCCCAAAACGACCCAAGAGGCACCCAAAACGGACCAAAGTGGGCCCCGACACACCCACAAGAGGGGCCCAAGATGGGGAACGCGAACCGAAAATCCGAGCCTTCCGCCCCAAGGGGCGCCGAACAAGGCTGCAAAGGAGGCCACAAGAGGCCCAAAAATCACCCCCCATCGGCGTCAAAACCATATCCAGGAGGCCCCCAGGAAGACCCCCACGAGATCCCAACGAATGTCCAAGAGGCCTCGCACCCACAACCCAGGCACGGTGGAAAGGTGGGCCGAAGGTCATTGGACAACGGAATAAACGAGCCAGCTAAGAAGGAAAAAGGACATCCAGGCCAAGGGAATGTAACCAAGTTAGTCTAACGCAGGAGAACACAATCAACTAGGGAGGAGGGCCACGGAAGCCCAAGCCAACCAAGGCATACACATGAAAGAGAGAGCGTGATCCACCGCCGCTTTACTGTGGAAAATTGCCAACCTTTTCCTCCGGAACCCGGGGGTCTCCCCCCCCCCCCTCCGAAAATCCCCCCCCCCCCCCCTGCCGGAACCCCCCCCCCCCCCCCCCTCTCCCCCGGCAAAACCCCCCCCCTCCCCTAACCCCCCCCCCCCTCCCCCCCCCTCCGAAAACCGGGGGGTCACTACCGGTTCGAACCCCTCCCCCCCCCCTCCCCCCTCCTCCGGAAAACCGGGGGGGGTCACTACCGGTTCGAACCCCTCCCCCCCCCCCCCCCCCCCCCCCCTACTCACCGCCAGCAAACGACTCCCGGTCCCCACCACCGTCCGCATCACATCCCCCACTGGTGTTCCCAGCACCACTGTCCTCACCACCGCTGTCCCCACTGGTTCCACCACCGCCCCTACTGTCCCCACCAGTGGCCCCACCACTGTCGCACTGTCCCCGCTGTCCCCAGAACTGTTCCCACCACGGTTCCACTCTCCCCACTGTCTCCACGGCCCCAACCACTGCCCGACTATCCCCACTGTCCCCACTGTCCCACTGACTCCTCCGCTGTCCCACTGAGCTGTCCCACTGTTCCCACCACTGTCCCCACTGTCCCCACCACTGTCCCCACTGTACCTCTGTCCCATTGTCCCACCGCCGTCCTCGCCACCGCCTTCACCACTGTCCCCACCACCATTGTACCCTCCACTGTCCCACTGTTTCCACCTCGTTCCCATTGTCCCCACACCACTGTCCCCACCACCACCGTCACCACCACTGTCCACTGTCCCCCCCTGTTCCCACCATTGTCCCCACCACTGTCCCCACCACTACCGTCCCCACCGCTGTCCCACTGTCCCACTGTCCCCACCACTGTCCCGCTATCCCCTCACCACTGTCCCCACCCTCCCCACCACTGTCCCACTGTCCCCCCACTGTCCCCACCACTGTCCCGCTGTCCCCTCACCACTGTCCCCACCAACACCGTCCCCACCACTGTCCGCACCCCCACTCGGTTTTCGAGGGGGGGGGGGGTTCGAACCGGTAGTGACCCCCCCCCCTTTTCATGATGAGCAGGGGGGGGGGGGGGGGAGGGGTTCGAACCGGTAGTGACCCCCCCCGGTTTTCCGGAGGGGGGGGGGGGGGGGGGGGGGGGGGGGAGGGGTTCGAACCGGTAGTGACCCCCCCCGGTTTTCCGCCAGCAGCGGTAGAACACGCTCTTTCACATGAAACAACAAAAACAAGCAGGAATCCTGGCCCGTTGTCCTCGCCACGGGCCCGCCCTCGCGGGCGCTGCGGGCCGCCAGGCCCCCCCAGAAGGCGAGGGAAGAGGGGGGTATGGAGCGATGGAGGAGAGGACAGGACATCCGCATGAGGTGGTCAACGCCAATGCGCCCGCTGAGGTGCAGTGTAGAACGTATGCGTACGCCCTGCGAAATGCTTAAGAAATCATGGGTTAAGAAATTCATAGTCTCAGAATTTGAATAAAAACCCAGAGTTTCGATTGAAATCTTAGGACTCACACTGAAACATTAAGAATCATCGAGACTCTGGCCGAAAACGCCAAGTTTTCTTACGCATCGCCTAGGGTGTAGGCGTGCACGCGGTCCTCCGCACCCCGAGCCCTCACCAGCGATGCAGGAGGACGGTTGGTAGTCCTCAAACGTGGTGGTGACAACACCTGGCGGTGAATCTCCGGCGATTTGGTGTCACCACCCCGTTTGGGGACTCGTGCGGTTTTCCGAGGATGTCCCGGACACTGGTGGGTCCAGGAGTCACAAAACCCGGTGGTGACCCCGCGTCCCCAAACCCAGCGGTGACCTTTTTGGGGATTCCAGGTCGCCACCTGGTATCTCACCACCCGGTTTGGGGGTTCCCAAGACGGGAGGAGGCACGAGACGGTGGCAAGCCCAGAGGGGTCGGCGCCCTCCCCCGGCCCCCGGTCCGCGCCTCTTCGAGATGCGCGCGGGGGCCTGCCCCGTGGGCGCCTCCACCTCCTGCTCGGCCTGCGGGCTTGCCTCGGCGGGGCACCGCCCTGCTGCCGCTGTCGACTGCGACTCCGTCCCCCTCCTCGTTCGCCCCCTCCTCAGCCGCCTCCATCCCTGTTGCCCTTCTTTCTTCAAGAGAAGCAACACAACACAAACACGCCGTTAAAACAACGCGAAGATCGGGACAAAATCGGATCGGGATAACTCGAAATCTCTGAGAATCGGCGGGTTTGGAGGATGTATTGGGCGCCGCGGCCGCTCCAGAGCGTTCCGGAACGCTCTGAGAGCGCTCCGGAACGCTCTGGAGCGATTTATCCCGATCCTGGCCCTGTTTTAGCCGTGCCTGTCGCGCCATGGGGCGTGTCGGTAGGACGGGCCGGGCGTTTCGCCCGAGTCTTCCCCACCACCTGTGGGTGAACCGTGAGCCCAAACTTTGCAGCGGCTTCACGGTTGAAGGGCGGGTGGTTGTTAACATCTGGCAGTGCTTTCTTTTTTAATAGATCAATATAAAATATCGGAAGTGAGGGGGTGCGATCGAAGTGGAACGGAGAGCCCCCCTACAGGGAAATCGGTTTCGGTTTCGTGTTCGTGCGTGCAGTGCGTGCGGGCGAGGCGAAGCTGCGTGGGCGGGCGAGAAATAAGTCTCCTGTAGCTGAGGCGCCGTCGGACCAACAGTCTCCCTTCCGGCAGCCAGAGCCCCGCGGTGTCCCGCCGGTGTCCCGCTCGGGGGCCGGTGGCGCGCGATGTCCCGCCAGTGTCCCCACGGTGTCCCGTGAGTGTCCCGATGATGATGATGATGATGATGATTATGATGATGATGATGATGATGATGATGATGATGATGATGATGATGATGATGATGATGAGATGATGATGATGATGATGATGATGATGATGATGGTGTTGACGATGCTGATGATGATGATGGTGGTGATGATGGTGTCCCGATGATGATGATGATGATGAAGATGATGATGATGACGATGCTGATGATGATGATGGTGGTGATGATGATGGTGCCCCGGTGATGATGATGTTGATGCTGATGACTTTGCTGATGATGATGGTACCCCGATGATGATGGTGATGATGTTGATGATCCTGATGATGTTGATGCTGATCAAATGATTTGATGATGATGATGATGATGATGGTTTCCCGGTGATGATTATGATGATGTTGATGATGAGGTTGATGATGCTGTTGATGATGGTGGTGATGATGAGGGTGTCCCGACTGTGATGCTGAGAATGATGATGATGATAATGATGATGACGATGGTGTCCCGATGATGATGTTGATGATGAGGATGATGAGGTGATGATGATGATTTTGATGATGGTGGCCCAATGATGGTAATGATGATGCTGATGTTGATGATGATGGTGTTCCGATACTGTTGATGCTGCTGGTGATGATGATGATGATGGTGACGATGATGATGGTGTTCCGATGATGATGATGGTGATGATGATGGTGTTGCTAATGATGCTGATGATGGTGTCCCAATTCTGATGATGTTGATGATGATGTTCATGATCATGATGATGAGATGATGATGATGGTGGTGTTCCGATGATGATGATGATGATGATGGTGACCAGATGATGATGACGATGATGATGATGTTGATGATGATGGTGACGATGATGGTGTCCCGATGATGATGATGGTGATGATGTTGATGATGTTGATGATGGTGATGGGGTGATGATGATGATGATGGTGTCCTGATGATGCTGACGATGATGATGATGTTGGTGACGTTGATGACGATGATGTTGATGACGATGATAACGTTGATTGTGATATCGATTATGATATCGATAGTGGGATCGATAGTTAGACCGAACGTGAGATCGATTGTGAGATCGATAGTGAGATCGATAGTGCGATCGATTGTGAGATCGATGGTCAGATCGATTGTGAGATCGATCGAATGAAATAGATCGAGTGAGATCGATTGTGAGGTCGATCGAGTGAGATCGATCGAGCGAGACCGACAGTGAGATCGATAGTGAGATCGATAGTGAGACCGATCGAGTGAGACGTTGGTTCCTCCCCCCCCGAACCTCCTTATCACCCGAAGGGTGGTCGTATAGCTATATCTATATGTATATACACATCTATTGGTTATATATAAACACACATTTATTGGTTACATATAAACACCTTTCTTACAAACGCGAAAAATTAAACAACTTCTCATTTTGCCGAAGATGATTGCAGCGATGATGACGATGCCTTGGGCTCCCGGTGACGCAAATCACGACGCCGATGGTGCTTGCTATCTCGGGCTCCCGGACACGGGCGATGATGAGGATGAGTGGCATGAATCAGGGGACTGATGGGATCTCGACAGTGGCGATGATGAGGGTGAGTGAGAATCACTCCTCCACATCATTGTCGTTTCCCTCCGCATCCTCATCCAAAGTCTCTTCATCACCCTCTCTCTGCCAAGCGTCAACCACATTATCGTCGCCATCCTCCCCCTCCTCCTCATCCTCTTCGTTGTACGTCTCCTGCTGCTCCTCATATCACTCACCTCCTCAGCCTCATTATTCTCTTCATTATCAAGTTCCGCCTCCTCCCACACCTCATCCGCATCCTCTGCACACTCATCTGCTACATGGCGTCAAACTGGATGGGCATGTGGCGTTGTCGGCTCTACTCCGTGCTCGGTGCTTCTCCTTTCCTCGTCCTCCTCCTCATTATCCACCTCCTGCTGATCAGCAGCATCCTCGCCGCCTCATCCTGCTCCTCCTCTTGCTCCCATCCATCCTCCTCCTCGTCCTCCTTCTCCTGCCACTTATGCTCATCGGAGGAGGGGGAGGAGCAGCAGGAGGAGCAGCAGGGGGAGGAGGAGCAGGAGGAGCAGAGCAGCAGGGGGAGGAGGAGGAGGAGGAGGAGGAGGAGGAGGAGGAGGAGGAGGAGGAGCAGGAGGAGGAGGAGGAGGGGGAGGGGGAGGAGGAGGAGGAGGAGGAGGAGGAGGAGGAGTAGGAGGAGGGGGAGGAGGGGTAGGCAGGGTAGGCCCCGTGGCAGCAGCATCGGGGCGACCGGCCGCGCAGGAGCCGGCCGCGCACCCGGGGGCCCCGCCTGCGCCGCGCGGGCGAAGGCGCCCCCCCTCGCCGCGCCAGCGGCAGGCCACGCGGGGCGCGCCGCGGGGGCGAAGGCGGCCGCCGTCGGCCGGGCGCCGCGGCGGCGGTGCGCTGGGCGGGCGCTCTGTTCTGACTCGGCGCCGCCTTCATCCTGCTGCTCCTCCTGCTGCTGCTGCTCCTCCTGCTGCTCCTCCTGCTGCTGCTCCTTCTCCTCTTCCTCCTTCTCCTCCTGCTCCTCCTGCTGCTCCTCCTGCTCCTCCTGCTGCTCCTCATGCAGCTGTTCCTCCTGCTCCTCCTGCTGCCCCTCCTCCTCCTCCTCCTGCTCCTGCCCCTCCTCCTCTATGGTGCAGCGCCATGCAAACATCAGGCCGCATCGACTCGTCAGAATACTGGAATAAAATCGAATCGGGCCAGCCGACATCGCTATGACACCCGATCGGTCAGATCGAACTGGACTCTGGATCCAACAATTACATGCAGCTTAGTCATCATGTCATTGCTGCTCCCCCATGTGGCCTCCTCCTACTCTTCCATCATGGCTACTTCTGAATCGTCCTCCTTTTAGAAGAGGACAGGAGGAGGGGGAAGATGAGGAAAGGAGATGACAGAGGATGATGAAGAGCACGAAGGATTGATGAGGTGCTGTGTGTCGGGCTCTTGTGGTGTCGGAGACGTGGGTCTTGGTGTGCTCGGGCTTCCCGCAAGAAGTCTGTCACCCCCTCCCACAAGTCAAACTGCGGAGCAGAAGGCAATTGATACACTCATGCAGAAGACGCTCCCACAAGGCCTCAAAGCATGGCCCTAAAGTCTGTTCCCACGCCTCCCTAGTGCGTCAAAGACCAGGACCACAGGTTTGCAGTTGGCTGTGGAGGAGGAAGAGAAGGAGAAGGAGGAGGAGGAGGATGAGGAGGGGGAGGAGGAGGGAGGGAGTGAGGGAGGCAGGAGGACGGATGAAGAGGGAGGAGGAGAGATCGAGTGGGGTAGGGAGGGAGGGAGGGAGGGAGGATGAGGACGGAGGAAGGAGGAGGAGGATGAAGAGGAGGAGGATTGAGGAGGAAGCAAATTAAACAACCGGGGGAACAAAAACAAACACAACAAACAAATCCGACGATCAGGCGTATGCGTGTCTGAGAGCGTGGACTTGAGCTCGCTCAAGCTTTGCTCTGCAGGGGGGGGAAGGGGGACGCCATTCCCGACGCACTTCGTGTTCGGGGGCGGGGGGGCTCACACCATTAAGGGGGGGGCACGCCATTCCCGACGCATTGAGTGCTCGGGGGCGGGGGGACCCATACCATTCCCGACACCGTCGCGACGCTCCGACCATGGAGGGGGAGGGGGCCGACGCCATTCAAAACGCCATTCCCGACGCATGTCGTGCTCGCAAGACGCCTCCAATACGCCCAAATAGGTACCTAACCACCTGCGAAGAGAGACCCACGAGGTCCACATCTACTCACCCCTCTTGGAAATATATATGTTTTCCCTTATACGACATTTCGGCCTTTACGACGTTGCCGATGGTCCAGAGGCCCCCGAGACCGCGTCAAAACGGCTCAAGAGGCTCCCAAGACGACCCCAAAACGGCCCAAGAGGGCGCCAAGACGGCCCAAGAAGCGCCCAAGCTGGCCCAAGAGGGTTCCAAGACAGCCCCAGGAGAGGCCCAAGAGGGGGAGTCCGAACCGAAAATCCAAGCCTTTCCCACCACAAGGTTCTCAAGAGGCTCCAAGAAGCCCCCAACAGGCCCCAACAGGCCACCCAAAAGCCCACAGGAAACCCCAGAAGGCCCCCAAGAGGCCCCAAAGAGGCCCCAAGAGGCTCAAAACGACCCCCAACAGGCTTCCCCAAGTCCCTTGCTCAATCCCCTGAGCCTCAGTCCTCAAGCCTGAGGATTCTTCAGACCCGGATCCCAAACTCGCGCGCCCTCTGGGGCCCCCAGAATGTTCCCGCATGACTTCTTCAAGCCCAAGAACGGCCCAAGACGGGCCAACAGGGCCCCAAGAGGCCCTCAAGACAGCTCAAGAAAGCCCCGAATCACCGAACGGTCGGTCCAAGACGCCCAAGATGGCCCCATGGCCATCATCATCATCATCATCATCATCATCATCATCATCATCATCATCAGCAGTAGCAGCAGTAGCAGCAGCAGCAGCAGCAGCAGCAGCAGCAGCAGCAGCGGCATCATCACCATCATCAACAACATCAACATCATCCGGAACGCCCCAGATCGGTGGCACTGGCCAGAGGCCAACACAATAACCACACGTTTTAGATAGAACGTATACACACTAATAATAATATCCGTGATACGCGTCGTAGTAATAATAGTACTAATAAACACAATCGTCATACAATGAATAATACTAGTAAAAAGAATGACCACGCTGATAAGACTACCTTGATCATGATGATTAGTATTATGGTTGCTACTACTTGTACTACTACTACTACTACTACTACTACTACGACTACTACTACTACTACCACTACTACTACTACTATTACTACTACTACTACTGCTACTGCTACTACTACTACTACAAATAAAACTACTACAACTACTACTACTACTACTACTACTACTACTACCACGACGACGACGACGACGACTACTACTACTCCTACTCCTACTCCGACTCCTACTCCTACTCCGACTCCGACTCCTACTCCTACTCCGACTACCACTACTACTACCACTACTACGACG